GAAATGGATAAAAATATTTACATAAAATGGAGACTATGGAAACTTTCTTGTGGTAAATCATAGAATCTACAAGCCTTTTATTAGATATTTCGTTAAAATTACAAATATTTTGGTTGGATTTATCTAGTTTATTATTAGAGTCATTAAGAAAGGTACTTTTATTTAACTTATTTCTTTGAGCTCGGGCCATCCATCTACTTTTCCGAAGATATTTATATTTGTGGTCGACCAATCAGAATATTGACACTGTCCCCTTTAATATTTAAAAGGGGATCCTTTTCTGATTGGCCCACAATCAACCACCCTCTCCTCAATTTTTCTCAATTGCATTGCATGCCTTACAATCCTTTTGTGATCTTTGTCTTCTACTTCATAAACATCCCCTTTTAGTTTCTTTTTGACAACTCCTTTAGTTTCAAATTCTTCATCCATTATTCACTGAAAATTAACTTAATTCTGAATTTATTCTGATGTATTTGGTTCTTAATTTTCTTTAAAAAATAACATTATCATTTTTCAATAGCTTGTAAATTAGGCCCCGTGTGAGAATCAAAAAATTTTTAATGTGATTCATTTTTATATGATATGCTCTAATGATGATATATTTAATGAGCACGCCAACTATCAGTAATAATAGTTGACCCATTTCAGTGCTTTCGAGAAACTCATTTGATTTGTTTCTTCATATATATTGATAACTTCTCTGAGATACAATTCTCCTGCGTGTTTATTCACATCTACTGTTTTCTACATAAGTTTTACATTCTTGCAAACTTCATTTTATGTCTTGGAAAATTAACCTTCGTCGACTTCATAAAATGACCAACTCATCCAATTTTCCAATTTCTAAACCTTTGCATTATATTAAATATTTGCAATAAAGGTTTTTTGTATTAATTATGAATTGTATTTCTGCTTTTCGTATCGCAATAAACTAAACGTTTTACCTGTGTAGCATCAATAGACTAAAAATAGATCAAATACAGAAGGTCACAAATGTTTATATGTGAACTCTTCATTATTGTATTTTACAAAAAAATTTTGCTTTGTAACAATTTCTTCACCCCCCTTTCCACTTAACTTCTCATTTAATATTCCCATGAAATGGCTAAAAATTTACACTTTAATCTTTTTTGATCACAAAAACCTCATATTTTTCTCGCATAATAATTTAAATTTTTATCTGATTTTTAAAACTTTAACATAATAAATTTATAAAAAGGTTTTTGTGCTTGAATATATAGATAAGTAAAAGAATAAATTATAGATTTCCCCTTTGTGTATGAGTTATTTTTCTATATTTTGAGTTTTTTATTTTAATGCGAAATATTATATGAATGATCAAAAGCAAAATTTTAAATAAAATTTAGGCTCTTCATAAATATAAAATATTTTTTTGTGAAGGTTTTTACTTTAATTAAGAATTTCATCAGATTGTTTTATTTAGAATATCAATAATGAATATTATCATAGATATTAAGTAAAAGATAATTTAAAATTATTATTTTTGGCGATAATGCAAATAACTTTGACTTTAGTTTATTAATTAATTTAAATAATTAATCAATAAATAAATTAAGGAACTCAAAAATTTAAAACTTTAAAGTTGGTAATCCGTTAAGAAAGCATTTAAATATATAAAAGATATTTGAGTGGATAATCTAAGAATTACAAAATAAAATCAACATTGCTCATTAAATGCAATTATTACAAATTTATAACGTCAAAATCATTTGTGCGATCTTTTGAAAATAAAAAC